AGTGCAGTGGCCGGATCTTTGCTCACTGCAACCTCCACCTCACGAGTTCAGTCAGTTCTCCTGCCTCAGCCTCCCAAGTAGCTGGGACTACAGGTCCTCAGCCTCCCAAGTAGCTGGGACTACAGGTGCCCGCTACCACGCCCAGCTAACTTTTTGTATTTTTAGTAGAGACGGGGTTTTGCTGTATTAGCCAGGATGGTCTCAATCTCCTAACCTCATGATCTGCCCGCCTGTGCCTCCGGGCATGAGCCACCGCGCCCAGCCTCATCAACCTTTCTTTACTTGATATCTTATATGCCTTTTTAAGTATGTATATCTTCCTTAGTGAGAATATTCCCTATTTTAATGTAAGACTTTTTTCCTCTAGAACCTCAAAGGAAAATAAAATTTCAAATGGGAAGGTTTATTGTTTGACGTATCTCAAAGGTCTTGTATATGTAAACTTACCCCCCAGTTTTTTATAAACACTCTCAAAGTGCATGCGTCTCATTTTCTTCTCTAGTAAATAGGGGTTCAGTTTTGTTTTTAGCATGTTTGGTTTGTCTAGGATGGAGGACCCAGTGAGCCTTGGGATCAGACTTTCTGCATCACCTCCTGGGGTCACACAGCTTCCGGACGTGTGGGCTGACCTCATGTTGATGCCTCCAGGGTGCCTGGACTGGGCTTGATTCCAGGAGCTGTCTGATCAATACTCAGGAGCGTAGCACACAGAACATTTGGTTGACTAAGATGTATAGCTGCCACAAAATCAAATTTTTACTGTATTTTAGAAACCTTAGAATTGGATTTGAATTTCTGGTTTAATATTTGTTGCAACTTGCATTGTTGGAAAAAGCACTGGCCCACGGGTCAAGAGACCTGGGCTCGCATTGTAGCTTTGTAGTTGACCACTGGGAGACCACCTGGGTAACTGACCAACAAGTGTCCTCAGCTGTAGGATGGAAGACGAAGTGGCCCTGGGGGCCCTGGTTCCATGCTGGGCGGTGAGATGCGTGCTGGGGAGGACTGGGGGCCCTGGTTCCATGCTGGGCAGTGAGACGCGTGCTAGGGAGGACTGGGGTCCTGGTTCCATGCTGGACGGTGAGACGCGTGCTGGGGAGGACTGGGGGCCCTGGTTCCATGCTGGGCGGTGAGACGCGTGCTGGGGAGGAATGGGGGCCCTGGTTCCATGCTGGGCGGTAAGACGCGTGCTGAGGAGGAATTGGCCAACGTAAGGCGTTGTGAATGCAGTTTATCTGAAGGGTTGGGCTTTGATCCCGTGATCCTTTTTCTCACATAACACGTATTCCTGCTCCTTGAGCCTTGAGATAACACTGTGAAGGGGGACAGCATAAGTCATCGCAGGGCTGGGCTCTCCCATCAGCTCTGTGCTTTTTGCATTTCAGATGCCTGGGACAGATGAACCCCAAGATGTGTGCGGTGCTGAGGAATCCAAGGGGAACTTGGAAAGTCCCAAACAGGGCAGCAATAAAATCAAGCTCAAGAGTCGCCTTTCAGGTAGGTGGGGGCTCTGTCTGATGCAGCCTGCCTAAGATGAGCTTTCAGCCTCAGGAGCGGGGAGATGAAGCCATTGCTGGTAATGAGCTCTTGTCTTCTTTAAAACCTCAAAATCATTTGTTCCTTAGATGGTACATACCCCAAGCATAACTGCATTCAGCCTCCTGCCTATGTGAACTTTTTTTTTTTTTAAGTCATAACAAAGTGCATGGCAACATTTCTGTGTGTCTCTGTGTCCTGAAACATAACTTATGTTTGGTTCATTTACTTCGATCAGATTTCAGATGATCCTTTTCAATGTGGCGTTAATATCAAATCTGCATTTCAACTAAGCAGGAAAAAGATAGGATGGAGTTGCAGCTTTTAGAGCAAATCGACTCTATATCTCCTGGGCATTTCCTTACGGCAGCTGGCCTGGGCCCAGAGAGAGAAAGTCAGCATTGAAAGCAGTGGCGCTGTGCAGGAGGCACCTTAGAACTTTCGTGTATCATTATGAAAGGTTTTTTTTTTTTTTTTTTTTTTTTTTTTTTTTTTT